GAAAGAGTAGCTAACCAAATGCCTGTTGGTATGATTTTTCCCACTACAGTTTCTCGGGTCAGGCATTGCAAAAGATAAATTAGGGTCATTGTATCTCTGAGCATCTAAGACAAATTATAACCCAGAGATGGTCAGTTTAGGCAAAATATCCTAAAAATAATTTTTTTACAAAAGGCAAGATGTGTATAAATAAGAAGAGTCCTGGCTGGATCCGACAAAATGAAGTGATTCCATGGGATTTGCATAAAATGTAGACCCTCAATTTATTTCTTATCCTCCTCTGCAGCCCTCTAGATTTGTTAATACATAATACTTACTCTGCTGCTTTAAGTGGAATCCATTGGCAAAATGTCCCCCTCCTGTATTCCCCCGCCTATATTAAACACTCTAAAGCAGGGGTCCCCAACCCCCAGGCCATGGACTGGTACCAGTCCATAGTCTGTTAGAACCTGGCCACACAGCAGGTGAATGGTGGGCAAGTGACAAAGCTGAGCTCCACCTCCTGTCAGATCAGTGGTGGCATTAGATTCTCACAGGAGCTTGAACCCTATTGTGAAAAGTGTAGGTTGTGCGCTCCTTTTGAGAATCTAGTGCCTGATGATCTGTCACGGTCTCCCATCACCCCCAGATGAGACCATCTAGTTGCAGGAAAACAGGGCTCCCACTGATTCTATATGATGGCATAATAGTAGAAATAAAGTGCACAACAAATGTAATGTGCTTGAATCATCCAGAAACCATACTCCTACCCCACTCCCACCCATGGAAAAATTGTCTTCCACAAAACTGTCCCTGGTTTGAAAAAGTTTGGGGACCACTGCTCTAAAGAGAGAATTACTCAGAATAAAGCCCAGTCCTTCCAAACTGGAGTATATCTTCACCCCTCCTCTTTGTCCTTTTGACCATTCATTTTCTGGTAGCCTCACTACTGTTGCTATAGAGACAGTGATGTCACCAATTGTGATTCTGATGTCACTCTCCAGTCCCAGCAAGGGGGAGGTACATGGAAGGCCGCAGGAAGAAACAAGATCTTGAGCTGAGCCAGAACATCCCAGCATCTTCCTTGACTTTAAAAGTGTGTTCTGGAGTCTTCTGTGGTTCACTATTCCAGTGCTACAGAGGTAGGAAATCTTACTGGACTGATAAAACAGCCCATTTTCTGATCCTCTGTGGTTGGAAGGGAGAATTCAGTGACAAGCGATAGGAAACTTTTTATATTCAACCTAGCGTTGTTCGTCCATCCAGCCAATTTTTTTTTTTTTTTTTTTTTTTTTTTTTTTTTTTTTTTTTTTTGAGATGGAGTCTCACTCTGTTGCCCAGCTGGAGTAAGTCTTGAATATATGGATTACCACCATAGTAAATTTGAGCAAGCCATCTCTTTTTTGTCCTTGGATTCTCCAATCCAAAAGAAAAAATGAGCTATCTGAAAATGGGCAGACTGCATATTCATTCTTCCAGCAGATAATTATTGAGCTCCAATTTTAAGATACTAGCTACTATGAGGGATACCAAGATGAATAGGAAAATGCCTCTCCCCTTATGAAGTCACCCAATAAAGAAGATGAATATAGGGGAGCAATTAAAATACCAGATAGAATGTACATGTTGAAACAAAATATGATGGAAACCTCAATGAGGGAGCAATCACATTCATTAGGTACCTAGAAAATATTTCATGGATGGGGTATCCCTTGACCTGGGCTAATAAGTAAGGGTAGAATTTAGAGAGCGATTACTGGGGGGCTGGGTGGATATTCAAGAAGAGAGTACAGTGCTCTAATGTCTTCCGCTGAAATGTCTGAGTAGAACCAGAACAAGGAAGTTAATTAATCTGGAAGATATCTGTGAACTTCCTTTATAACTTGAAGGTGTGTATTTCTTTCAAGTCCTCAAAGATGCATGCAAAGTGTTTTGAGTTCCATAAATTCAGGGTGCTTATTCTTCATTCCAGCTATTTTTCTTCCAGCTTCCTATTCGAGCAAGTTTAAAATTAAGCTAAAAATTTTTAGGGTCTTCGTCGTTTAAAAAGACTGTATACCAATGATTTCAAAGTGAGGAGTAACAGTCGTCATTTAAGAAATCATTGGTCCAAAAGTGGAACCTTTTTTGTCATGTGGGAACTGCCAGACTGCATCAAGAATAAGATGTGCACTCATGAAATGTGAATGTCATTTTGAGCTCATTACTTAAATGTACATGTGATAAACAATAAATAAGTCAAAATCATTATTTTGAATAAGAACAATGAGTTTCATCTGTAAAATTACTCATTTTTATCTGTGTCTTTCCATTGCAGATTCCTTATATTACATGGCAGGAGGGGGATAAACGGGGATACAGGAGACAACAATAAATTAATCAAGAGCTTTCCTCATATCTCAGAACCTATCCTCAGTAAGAGTAAGTGGTCACATAGTTTCTGTACTTTTTGTACATAATTATCAGCATTTTGATTATATATAACTGAAATAAGGCAATAGATCCTATTGATTTTGTCACAATTTTCTATTAGAAGTAACTCATTTGGATGAAATATAAACTGAAGATTAAGAGATTGTGTTTCTGGCTCTCACTTTTACTATCAATAATCTAGGACAACCTGCTTCTGAGTCTTCCAATTCTTTGGCCAAATAGTAATAGCATTCATTATTTTCTTTATAGTAATGATGCAAGCATAATAATATTTATATGTATGTATGTTTATGAAGAGGACATTACAGAGTTTAACTTCATAGACATTAGCAACTTCTTTGTTAAGATAACAAAACATTAAAATAAGATACCGAAGAAAACTAGAAAATCTGGCCGGGTGCGGTGGCCCACACCTGCAATCCCAGCACTTTGGGAGGCCAAGGCTGGTGGATTGCTTGAGGTCAGGAGTTCGAGACCAGCCTGGCCAACATGGTGAAACCCTGTCCCTACTAAAAATACAAAAATTAGCCAGATGTTGTGTGCCTGGTGTAGTCCCAGCTACTTGGGAGGCTGAGGCAGGTAATCATCACATTAACATTTTTGAGGAACATTTTAATCCAATCCTTCTATTGGCCATGGGAAAATTTGACAGCTTCCAGGATGTTAGCAGGGCTGGAATATCTAAAGGAATTAGATATTCCCTTGGGAAGCAGAGGTTGCAGTGAGCATCCTGGGAGGCAGATGTTGCAGTGATCCGAAATCACGCCAGTACACTCCAACCTGGCCGACAGAGTGAGACTTTGTCCCTCCCTCCCCCGAAAAAAGAAAGAAAGTTAGAAAATCTGTCTCAGAGAAAATTTTTAAAGAAATGGGTAAATAATTATCTTTCTGGACCTACCCTGTTTTTCTCACAGAATCTCTCCAGATAAGCCCTGGTCTAGGAATTCTCAATTCTTGATGTGTTTTAGAATCACTCAGGGAGCATTTAAGAATTTTAAGAATGCCTAAGTTTCCCCAGCCAAAAACCATTAAAATAAGCTTTTCGGGGGTTGGTAACTTGGATTCAGTATCTTTACACAGTTCTCTCGGTGATGCTCCTGTCTAATTAGGGTGGAGAACCCACTGTTTACCGAAGGAATCCATTGTATTTGAGTGCCTGGAAGATTAAAATAAACTACTTTCTTAGCTCAGTAATCTGAGTGAGTGACTTCTGTGTGAAAATGAGGACAAATCCTTGTGGGAGCAAAGAATAAATATCTCTTAAGAGATCTTGTATTTTCTTTGTAACAATTATCTAAAACATCCTGTATAACAAAAATGACATATCCACTTATATAAGTTTCAATGATGTATTTAATCTTTCTTTGATCTGTGTTGGTTTTATTTTGAGGGAGGACATCTACCCTCACCGCAGTCCAAAGTCCTTTAAAACAAATATTTCCAGTTAACCAGATGTTCATGCCTTAATACTGCTTTACTTATTTCAAGCAATTCTTCATAAAACACAATTTCACCATAAAAAATTAGGATCAGTTGTTGGATTTCATTATAACAGTATTTTAAACCGGTATTTGTTGGAATCAAAGCACAGAGATATTCCATTTCATATAGATGTTTGAGGCATTGGGGAGGAGACATGGGCTATCTTATTCCACTTTGATAATTGAGAAGTAAAGATCTGAGCAGAGTTTTTTTGCTTTTAAATTTTTTAACACCACCAACCCAAATGTCCATCAATGACAGACTGGATTAAGAAAATGTGGCACATATACACCATAGAATACTATGCAGCCATAAAAAAGGATGAGTTCATGTCCTTTGCAGGGACATGGATGAAGCTGGAAACCATCATTCTCAGCAAACTAGCACAAGGACAGAAAACCAAACACCGCATGTTCTCATTCATAGGTGGGAACTGAACAATGAGAACACTTGGACACAGGGCGGGGAACATCACACACTGGGGCCTGTCGTGGGGTGGGGAGATGAGGGAGGGAGAGCATTAGGAGAAATACCTGATGTAAATGACGAGTTAATGGGTGCAGCAAACCAACACGGCACACGTATACATATGTAACAAACCTGCACGTTGTTTGTACCCTAGAACTTAAAGTATAATTTTATAAAAGAAAAAAAAGAAAAAAGAAAATAAAATATTACTGCACCCCCTCCAAAAAAAATTTTTTTAATGCCAACTGAGCCTAGGTGATGAACAGGGAAGGAGGGGTGAGCTAAGCAGAGAATATAAGAAGGGAAACTTCAGTGTGGAAGCCTGGGAATGGAAGTCTGGCATAGAAAAAGAGGGCAAAGAGAAGGTTCTCATACTTTTAGATAATCAGTGGATAACTCTAAGTCATCATGAGAGTTGGCCGTGTTTTCAAAGACTACCAAGTAAGATTCAATGTTGTGGAAAGTGTGTGACACTAAGGCCAAAGCCCAAAGGAGTACATAGAATAAGTACTATGGTACTCAGTTGTGAGGGGAATCAATGAAAGCCGCAGGTATAAGCAATTTGTTTAAGAAAAATGACTGCAAATGGAAAAAGAGAGAAATAGTAGCTAGAGGGAAACTTGGGGTGGAATAAGACAATTAAAGTGAATCTCAGTTTTCTGGCTTAGAAGACCAGGTAAATGGTGGTGCCATTACTGAGATTAGGGAATATACCAAAGTATTTAGGAGGTTGTGAATGAATTCAGATCAGCAAGGAAATTACTGCATCCATGGACAAAGGTCCTTTGAATGGCGCACATGACATCTCTTTTGTCTTGAATGCTATTCAGAAATTGGGCTGAACCATAGAGGCTGAGAATTCCCCCAGGATCCTTGGCTAATTAGAAGAGATGGGTCTTAAGAAAGAAGTACCAGACTTACTGCTAGTATGAGTAAGTTACAGCTTTAGAAATGAATTAAAAATAGGTGGATACAGTGGTTCCAAGATGTCCAAACAGGAACAGCTCCAATCTACAGCTCCCAGCGTGGACAACACAGAAGACAGGTGATTTCTGCATTTCCAACTGAGGTACCGGGTTCATTTCACTGGGACTTGTCAGACAGTGGGTGCAGGACAGTGGGTGCAGCCACCAAGCATGAGCTGAAGCAGGGCAAGGCATCGCCTCACCTGGGAAGTGGAAGGGGTCAGGGAATTCCCTTTCCTAGCCAAGGGAAGCTGTGACAGACGGCACCTGGAAAATCGGGTCACTCCCACCCGAATACTGCGCTTTTCCAATGGTCTCAGCAAATGGCACACCAGGAGATTATATCCCACGCCTGGCTCAGAGGGTCCCACGCCCACAGAGCCTCACTCATTGCTAGCCCAGCAGTCTGAGATCTGCAAGGCCGCAGGGAGGCTGGGGGAGGGGCGCCCGCCATTGCTGAGGCTTGAGTAGGTAAACAAAGCGGCCTGGAAACCTGAACTGGGAGAAGCCCACCGCAGCTCAAGGAGGCCTGCCTGCCTCTGTAGACTCCACCTCTTGGGGTAGGGCATAGCCAAACAAAAGGCAGCAGAAACCACTGCAGACTTAAATGTCCTGGTCTGACAACTTTGAAGAGAGTAGTGGTTCTCCCAGCACAGAGTTTGAGATCTGAGAATGGACAGACTGCCTCCTCAAGTGGGTCCCTGTCCCCCAAGTAGCGTAACTGGGAGGCACTCCCCAGTAGGGGCAGATTGACACCCCACACAGCCAGGTACCCCTCTGAGACAAAGCTTCCAGAGGAACAATCAGGCAGCAACATCTGCTGTTCAGCAATATTCGCTGTTCTGCAGCCTCCGCTGCTGATACCCAGGCAAACAGGGTCTGGAGTGGACCTCCAGCAAACTCCAACACACCTGCAGCTGAGGGTCCTGACTGTTAGAAGGAAAACTAACAAACAGAAAGGACATCCACACCAAAACCCCATCTGTATGTCACCATCATCAAAGACCAAAGGTAGATAAAACCACAAAGATGGGGAAAAAAAACAGAGCAGAAAAGCTGAAACTTCTAAAAATCAGAACGCCTCTCCCCCTCCAAAGGAACACAGCTCCTCGCCAGCAATGGAACAAAGCTGGACGGAGAATGACTTTGACGAGTTGAGAGAAGAAGTCTTCAGACGATCAAACTTCTCCGAGCTAAAGGAGGAAGTTCGAACCCATTGCAAAGAAGCTAAAACCTTGAAAAAAGATCAGACAAATGGCGAACTAGAATAACCAGTGTAGAGAAGTCCTTAAATGACCTGATGCAGCTGAAAACCATGGCACAAGAACTATGTGACGAATGCACAAGCTTCAGTAGCCGACTCGATCAACTGGAAGAAAGGGTATCAGTGATTGAAGATCAAATGAATGAAATGAAGTGAGAAGAAAAGTTTAGAGAACAAAAGAGTAAAAAGAAACTAGCAAAGCTTCCAAGAAATATGGGACTATGTAATTCTACGTCTGATTGGTGTACCTGAAAGTAACACAGAGAATGGAACCAAGTTGGAAAACACTCTGCAGGAACTTCCCCAACCTAGCAAGGCAGGCCAACATTCAAATTCAGGAAATATGGAGAACCCCACAAAGATACTCCTTGAGAAGAGCAACTCCAAGACACATAATTGTCAGATTCACCAAAGTTGAAATGAAGGAAAAAATGTTAAGGGCAGCCAGAGAGAAAGGTCGGGTTACACACAAAGGGAAGCCCATCAGACTAACAGCAGAGCTCTCAG